AGGGAAAGAATAGTCTGCAATTACAAGGTCCAGTTGATGCTACATAACAACATATTAAGATTACTCTTGAGCCTCTTGCACTTACCGAGCCCATGGATCCCTAAGACCCCGTTTGGCCAGCCTTTCCTGGACCTTCTCTAGTGGAGTACCCTCTACCTTCCATATCCTGTAGTCAGGGAGTTCCATTTTGCCATGGCCATGGCCATGGCCATGTTCATTTCCATGCCCCATACCTACAAGAAAAGATTTGAGTTTTATTTTCTCAGAAAGTATCACTTATTTTCACACACTTGCAAAGAACAATACCCTGTACAGGGAAAACAGGGAGGTTACAAGAAGTATTCCAAAGCAAATACCACTGCATGTGAAGCACCTACTGCACTGTACACAGCACACTGTAGAACAAAGAGCTAAGAGACTAATACTGCATTTCAGAAGCTGGTGATTAAGTATAGTAAGACAAACTGGACAGATTTAAGTGTTACTGTTTTAAGTCAGCACCGCTATGTTAATCAAGTAGCTATGTATATTTTCTGTGCCAGGAAAACAATTGTTTCCAATGTCTATAAATGCACTTCAGCAACACCAGGGCCCACCAACTTGCAGAATTTCCAGAGTACATCAAAAGGCTCATAGTTCAGTTTTGAAATTTCCAATTTAGGTATGGCAGAGCTATCATCACCAAGCGCTGAAGAAAAACAAAGACTTGGCTCTTTAAACCCTTTTCAGTTGTCTCCAATTCAGTCAAAGGTAACTGGTGATTAACAGGTACAAGACAGAATTTCACAAGGCTGCTAAATGTATGATTTAGATAGAGCATTGAAAGAACTATGAAAATAGAAAGGTTCTCACTAAAAACAGTGATCAAGGCAGATGGGAAGGTGAACATTTTCAGTGAGATCATGAAGGACGGAAAGAACATAACAATGGCTTTGAAGTCTCTAATTTCACAAAGCACCTGAGACTTCTTTGAGCCAGGATTTTCCATTTTAACACTTATTTGACAGGAAAAAACATATGTAATGTCTTTATTTTTTAGAATTGACTGGAATGCAATGGTGCCAAGGACACAGCTTTGAATTCTGTAACCTAAAGACCTCAAGGTGTGGAGGCAAGTAAGAATTCTCCTCCAGAAGGGAATATGAAGAGGTCTATTGCTGTCATTAACGGGAAAGCTCCCTCAGAATTAAAACCCAGACAACCCCCGCCACTGAACTCCAAGACCTCCTACAAATATTCACCTTCCTCCCAGGAAAGGGTTTATACGTCAACGGAGTGCAGCGCAGCCAGAACGGGCAAAAGGAGCGCGGAAAGGCCACCCCGAGGCGGGGCAGCAGGACCCTCCCAGCCTCAGCGCCGGGACCCGGCGGCCTCGGCGGTGTCCGGATA